CAAATCTAAGCCATCCTGAATTAGGATAGCTTCCATCTTTAATTGCCACATTTCAAAGTTTGCACTTCGGTCAAATTTCTCAACATAAGACTTTGTTAGAGTCATTTTGGCTATTTAAACTAACCCGATTAGATCTGGCTCTGATACCAATTTGTTAGGATTGGGTTACCGGGTAGTGCGAAATTTAGCCAAACAATGTTATAATGACAATAACAAAGATAATGCAAGTTGATAATAACGGCAATTAAAGAAGATAAAGAATACACAAATTTGACGTGGTTCGGTCAAGGTGACCTACGTTCACAAGCGGAGAGGAGTAATTTCACTATACCAACAAGAGTACAAAAGAGAGTACAAAATTAGAGTAAATACTCTAATTAGTTCCAAACACCCCAAGAGAATAACCTCACAAGATCACTCCAAAGAAAGGGTTCACACAAGTATTTTCCAACACCCACTCTCTTCTAAAATACTCTATAATGAAATAAAGGAGGAGAAAGAAAGACAAGAGTGAAAAGCTCTTGAATTGGTATGTTTGCAAATGAGGAGAAACTCCTCTATTTATAGCAAGTAATCCTTGGCCTAATAATGGATATTATGTCATGGCAAATGTCATGATCCACAAATTTTATTATAATGTATATTATGTCATGGCAAATGTCATGAAAATTTGGCCATATTACACTTTTCATTATCTTTTACTTATGGTAGGAAAATTCGGGTGAAATTAAAAAAAAACCAGATTTACAAGTGATAATTGAAAAATAGCCACATTTTCAAAAGTAATCGAAACTTAATCACTTTTCATGTAAAGATAAATCTGAACGAAAACACTGTTCAAAATCCGAAAAATATTCCAGCAAAATATACTGGAGTTCGAATTTTTTACATGTGAACTTCCAGCATAATATGCTCGAAGTTCATACACAGGTGCTCCAATCTCCAGTATATTATGCTGAAATGTTCCATATCCTGGAGTTCCAGTATAATATGCTGGAAATTCATATACAGGTGCACCAATCTCCAGTATATTATGCTGGAACTTTTCGTATTGCAGCAAAATAGTAACTATTTTTCAATAACTTTGCAAACGCTGGTTATTTTTTAATTACCAGTCCGAAAACTGGCTATCACGTGCTATTTGTACAGAAAATCCTTGTAGTTTGGTTCACTGATCCATGTACACTTCACAATAAGTAAAATGTGTCCTTGAAATTTGAGTATATTAGTATGCTTAAGCTTTAATTTTAAAGAAAATGTAACGACCCGACCGGTCGTTTTGAGAACTTAAGCCTCGTTCGGCGGCATAAAGCCCTGAGCAGCTTCATATTATGTGTATTGACTTGTGTGCATGGTTGAATTCAGTTACCGGATGATTAGAGTAATTTGGGACACTTAGTCCCTAAAATGGAAGCTTAAGTCTTAGGATTTTGACTATAGTCGGAACTATATGAAGATGACTCCAGAATGGAGTTTCGTCACTTCCATTGGCTTCGTTGGGTGATTTTGGACTTAGAAGTATAACCGGACTATAAATCCGAGGTCTGTAGTTGATTTAGGCTTGAAATGGCGAAAGTCGAATTTTTGGAGATTTGGACCTGAAGTGGACTTTTGATATCGGGGTCAGAATGTGATTCCGAGAGTTGGAACAGCTCCGTTATATTATTTAGGACTTGCCTGCAAAATTTGACGTCATTCCGGGTTGATTTGATAGGTTTCGGCACGGGTTTTCAAAGTTGAAAGATCGAAAGTTCATAAGTTCGATTCGTGATGCGATTTGTATTTTTTGGCATTGTCTGATGTGATTTGAGACCTCGAGCAAATTCGTGTTAGGTTATGGGACTTGTTGTGTATGTTTAGATGGGATCCTGGGGGCCTCGGGTTAGTTTCGGATGGGCTACGGGTCTTTTCCCCCTATTTTTGAATTGTTGTTATCTGTCATCCGGTTTCCTTCATCGTGTTCGCGTCCTTGCCTTCGCGTTTGCGTAGTGTTATTTTGGAGGGTGAAATAATTCCTCTTCGCATTCGCAGTCACCCTCTCGCATTCGCGAAGTTCTGCCACCCCCTTCTTCGCGTTCGCATTCCCTATCTCACGTTCGCGAAGTGTAAACCAGGCCCTGGGTACTGGTGATCATTTTCCTCTTCGCGTTCGCATGTCACTTCCGCGTTCGTGTAGCTATTCCATTACACTCTTCGCGTTCGCGTACTACTTCACGCGTTCGCGAAGAGCAGTTGTTGGGCCATCATATTTTTCCTCTCCGTGTTCGCGAACGTGTTGTCGCGTTCGCGAAGAACAACTGGGCAGCTTTTGTTTCTCTTCTTCGCGAATGCGTCCCTTTCTCCGCATTCGCGATGCACAAAACCCCTGAGCAGAATATAAAGTCCTCTATTCCAAGGGTTTGCCATTTTTACCATTTTTGGAGTTCTAGAGCTCGGTTTTGAGCGATTCCTTGTGGGTTTTTCATGCAAAATCGATTGGGTAAGTGTTCTTCACCTAGAATCGATTGAGTTGAGGAAAATGGTAGTTTTTGAAAGAAAAATCCAAAATGAAAAATCACGATTTGAGGGACGAAATGGTATCGGAATTTGATGATTTTTGTATGGTTAGACTCGTGAGTGAATGAGTATTCGTATTTTGTGACTTTTATCCGATTTCGAGACGTGGGCCCAGGTCGACCTTTAGGGCGGATTTCGGGATTTTTATTAAAGTATTGATTTTATTAATTAGATGAGTCTATTATGGTTGTATTCATGTTATGTAATTGTGTTTGGCTAGATTTGGGCCATTCGGAGTCGGATAATTAAAAAAAAGGGCATTCTTACAGACTGGTTGAGCTTGGTTTGAGGTAAGTATCCTGCCTAACCTTGTGTGGGGGATTTTTCC